TCCGCAAGTGTGAAAGTTTGGGCTTCAGGGCTTCCTCGAACTCCTCTTCCCTCTCAGACACCCTAGGCTATGACTAATCCAGCCTTAGACACAGGTTCTGAAGACGGCCTACCTCTCTGAAAGTACATGGCATGACCTGAGATCAACTGTTCTGGGACCCAGAAGCCGCAGACAGTTACCTGCGAGGGCGTGACGGCACACAAGTCACTTTAGGGCTGTCAAGAAAAGCCCAGGCTAGCCACAGTGGGGAGGGCTAAACTGATGCCTAAAAGCGAACGTGCCCTAATTTATAAGATTTCTTTCCCGCTCCAGCTCTGGCTCAGCACGCCAAGCTCCTCCAATCCTTGCTGTGCTTCCCCGGGTCAGCAGCCCAGTGGGGCAAGCTTCCAGCTGTGGACAGAGGCAGGACTGCCAGGGGCTCGACTGCCCACTGGAGTGAAGGTGGAAGGAGGGGAAGGTGCTGGGCGGGGGCTGAGCAGAGTGCAGAGGCCATTGGCAAACATCAGAGGAGAAAAATCACCCTACTGACAGCTTCATGGAAACGCCTCGAAAAATCCTACAGCTTCTTGGGCTGATGCAAGATACACATGGGCTTACTGGTTAAAGGTGTCTGTCAGGCCTAGAGTCAAATCCTGCTTCTGCTTCTGCCCCTGCCAAGCTGTTTGGGCAAGTTACTGAAGCTCCCCAAGCCTCAGCCCTCAATTTAGCTAAAGAATTGTCTATTGAGAGGCCAGGCACAGTGGCTCATGCCTGTATTCCCAGTACTTTGGGAAGCCAAGGTGGGTGGATCACCTGAGGTCAAGAGTTCGAGACCAGCCTGCCGACATGGTAAAACCCTGTCTCTACAAAAAATACAAAAAATGAGCTGGGCTTGGTGGCACACACCTCTAATCTAGCTACTCAGGAGGCTGAGGCAGGAAAATCGCTTGAACCCGGGAGTTGGAGGTTGCAGTGAGCTGAGATCATGCCACTGCACTCCAACCTGAGCAACAGAGCAAGACTCTGTCTCAAATGAAAAAAGAAAAGAATTGCCTATAGAATGGGGGTAACAATAAGCTCTACTAGTGAGAGACTGTGAACGTTGAATGAGGTAAAGTATATTAAAAACATAGCATTGTTCCTAGTGCACACTCACTAGGAGCTAAAACACACAACACAACACAACACGACACAATACAACCCTCCCGCGATCCCAACATAGCACTGGCAGGAGTCAGAATAAGAAAAACCACAGAATCATTGCTGCAAGGAACCTCAGAGAACTCAAATCCAACCCCTTCATCTATTTCTTTTTATGTATTTATTTATATTGAGACAGAGTCTTGCTCTGTTGCCCAGGCTGAAGTACAGTGGCGTGATCTCAGCTCAGTGCAATATCTGCCTCCCAGATCCAAGTGATCCTCCTGCCTCAGCCTCCCAAGTAGCTGATATTACAGGTGTGTGCCACCACACCCAGCTATTTATTTTTATTTTTTTATTTTTAGTAGAGATGGAGTTTCACCATGTTGTCCAGGCTGATCTTGAACTCCTAGTCTCAAATGATCCACCCATCTTGGCCTCCCAAAGTGCTGGAATTATAGGCATGAGCCACCATGCCCCACCTCCAACCCCTTCATTTAACAGATGGTGAAGGGGAAAGGCTCAGAGAGGCTGAATAACTTATCAAAGGTTGCACAGCTAATTAATAACAGAGCAAGGTTCAAACTCAGATCTGCTTGACTCGCAGACACCCACCACCCCTCCACTCTACTCCACCCAAGTTGGCCATGGACAGCCCCTTTGCTAGGGTCCCCTTCCCACAGAGAGGTTTGGTCAGGGAACCCTCTGTTAGCACCTTTCCCTACAACTAGCCCCCAGGAGTAGCACCAAACTGCCAGAGTGCCACCAAGAAAGCTCCAGGTGAGGGGGCAGGGGGCAAATGATAGAGGTTCCCTAGAACTAGTAGCTGAAGGGAATAGAGTTTCAATTACCAAGTATTTGGAGGCACTATGCAAATAGCATGCAAAGCATATGCAAATGACCACAGGTTACTGACGAATCAACAATTTGAGCTTTAAAAAAAAAGTTTGTAACTAGGTCATATTATATGGTGTGAATCTCTTTTCTCTCTTGATTTTCTGCCAAGTAGAAAGAAATAAAATTTGTGGTTGACTGATCAAACCATGCCCCACTTAGTGAGGGCCAGCAGACACCTGTATCTGGGTGCCCCAGACACGCCTCACCAATGGTTGATCAGTATGACTCTGTCTGCCCAGCACCACATCTATCTTTGACTGGCATGTCAGGGCAGAAGCCTGGTGCCCAGGGACCCCTGGCCAAGAGGGGTTTCATAGACCTAGCAGCCTGCTGACTCCAGCCACATAGAGGGGACCAGAGCATAGTGTTCCTCTTGCAGGGTACTTGGGCAGTGACATGCAGGAGCCCAGAGTGGCCCAACACCTCAGCCAGGATCCCTGTTTGAGAAATGAGGCCCCAGCAGCCTTTCTATAACTCAAGAGAAAGGCTCCTCTCCATGGGCAGGACACTCCTGGGCACTGCTGGTGTGTGGCTGTCAAGGAGCCACACTGAGCCGGTGGGGGCATCTGTGATCAGGGCCCTGAGGCAGAAGCGGGGACAGGTCTAGTCGACAGCAAGAAAGTGAGAGGTTAGACTTCTGGAAGGCCTGCTTGAGGCTCAGCTGTATGTGCTCCGGAAACCCGGCCAATTCAGTCAATGCTGAGAGTGTGTGATGTGCCGGACACTAAGCTGGGCATTCTGAAGAATTTACAGAAACTGGTAAGAGGTGGTTACTGCCTTGAGGCATCAACACTCCACTAGAAGAGTAGAGACATGTATAGATACGACTTAACAGCTCTTTGGCACCTCCTTGGAGATGTGTCATGTATGTGTTTGTGTGTGTATTTCTTCGTGTGTGTGTGTTGACACCAAATGACACCTAAGAGCCTGAGTGGTGAGAGTAGGACTTGCCTATCCAGCCGCACTTGAGCTACATGTTAATCGTGACAATAGAACTACAAATAAGACCTCCCTATGGCTCGCATATAATATATAAGGCATAATATTAATACAAGTGTTTCGTGTATACGAGTTCATTACATCCTTCCAGTAACCGTAGGGAGTAGGTACTATTATTAATATTCCCTTTTATAAATAAGGAAATTGAAGCTTAAAGCAGCTAAATAAGTGACTTTCCCAAGGTTGCACAGCTAGAAATTCCCAAAAAGGATTTGAACTCAGGCCCATGGCAGCCTCTGTGCAGGCCCCCGCCTTCCCCCTCAGAGGACAGCTGCCCAGGACCCCAGCTCCAAGGCCACAGAGGTGCCTCCCAAAGGAATAAGCCTGCTGTTCCCACCAGCACAGCCATTCCAGCCCCACAGGGCAAGTAGGGCACATTCTGTCACAGCAAAGCGGGACCTTTGGCTCGTGTTGGCACCCACTCAGCAGACAGGATTTCTCCAGCAGCCTTCCTACAGCTAGCTGCACATCTGCATGAGTTTCCAAATGTGGCAACACTTTGTTATAACGGCTGGCTCAGAGGCCCTGCTCTTCTAATGCACTGAGACCAGCTTTATCTCTGCAGCCCAGCAGCAACCTGGGACAAATGGCAGCATGTAGGCCCCTCAGTGGATGAGCCTATGGGGTTTCTGGTTGCGTTCCCTTCTTCACCCCATCTGCCCTGGGAAACCTGGAGGGCGGAGGAGGTAGACCGGGCAGAGACTGGCATCAAGCTGCTGGGCATGGGGGAATCAGGAAGGAAGGCAGATGATTAGATCACACTTCTCTCCCAGTGAGCTTCAAGAAGACCCTCTGAGTCTTAGTTTCCCCTTTAAAAGCTCCTGCTCCATGTCCCTCACAGCAGCATGATGATAACCAGAAAAATTCATGCATGAAGAAAGGCTTTGAAAAGTTAAACGTGCACAAATGTAACACAAAGGGAGAAACATGGGTGCCCAGGCCTGCTTGGGCAAGGGGCCAAGTGAGGTAAGAGGCCCTACATCCCAGAGAAGCTATGCCAGGGATAGCAGGTACTGGACACGGCCAGAGCATCCCCAGAGAACAGGAATCTACGGGGGGCAAGAAGTCAAAGAGGGGGCAGACATGCCTCATAAGAGCATCCCAGCAGGGCCAATCCCTGGAAATATGCCCAGGCACTCGCTGGTGCTTGGTAGCCCAAGGCACTGCCTGGTGATGAGATTATGGCCTGACAGCTCCAAGCAGGAAGCCCCAGCATGGCCTGGACACCCACACTGAGGACTGCATCACCAGGCCACCCATCTCAGTGCTGCCTCAGAGCAGCATAAGCACCTCTGCTGTGACCAGCGAAGACATGGTTTTGCAACAGAACAGGAATATTAAGAGTAGGCACCAGCATTTTTTTTTTCTTCCTCCTGTCTATAACAGAAATCCCACAAGTGGGAGTGAGGCAAAGGTATTCAGAGCGTTGGGTTCAGCAGGAAAACCTTGGAAGGTATAGCTAGCTCGCACAGATACCTGGTGAACAAGAGAGCCAAAGCGTGCCTTCAGGAACCCTTGCGGGGGCTGGCTGGAGAAGCAGCACTCCTGCCCATTGTGCCCCCCTCAGAATGTCCTCACCCCACCTTAACTCTCTTCTCTGCCTCATCCTCTTCCCTGGGACTGGCAGAGCTCAGCTCATTCCTACCCAGCACTCACTGTGACCCTGTCTTGGTGGCCTCTCCAAGTCTGCCACCTCCGCCCCAGGCCTGACAGGCAGCCTTAGGTTCCTTGGCCGCAGGAGCGTCAGCTCTGAGGTCACGGGCACTGGCAAGTTCACAGCCCAGTCCTCCAGCCACCCATCCCCCTCCCATTTCTCTGACACTGCAGAGCAGAGCACAGGAAGCCTGAGTGAGGACTGGAGCACAATGGCCCAAAGAACATCTGGCTTACTTGGGGTCTTATGCTCTACCTTTTATCCTTTCTAGATGGCCCTCAAGCCAGCCATCATGCGGTGCTGCCAGTACCTTCAGCGGCTGTGGACTCACCGGAGAGGGATCTTGACCCGGAGGTAGCGGTCCACGGCAATTGCCAGCAAAGCCAGGATGGAGCTCTGGGTGAGGATGAGGACTGGACAGGCAACCATGAGGCAGGTGTGGAAGTAGGTCTGTGGCCCAATGTTGATGAGGATGGCGAGGGGGATGACCAGGGCACCCACGGCCACATCAGCCACCGCCAGCGACACGATGAAGCAGAAGGTAGCATCCCGCAGCGCCTGGTTCACCTTCACCGCCCAGATCACCAGCACGTTCCCGGGCACAGAGACCAGGGCAATGAGCACCTCGATGCCGATGTAGGCGGCCTGGAAGGCTGAGATGGAGGGCGGCATGGCGGGAACAGGCTGGGAACATCAGCAGACGGGCACCAAAGGGCACGAGGCAAGCATCTGTGTGGTCAGGGAAGCCTGGGATGGGGAGGCCGGTCTGGGAGGGCAGGGAGCCCAGGCTGCCCTGGAACTCCAGGTAACCCGCGGAGACGTGTCCCACTTGGCACATGCAGCTCCTGCCCAGGCTGGAGGGGCACCCGGCCCTTTCTCTGCCTAATCTTTGTCCCTTCCCTTTATCATCCCCACAGGTTCCATTCAGCAACTTAAAATAGCAGCGCTCACTCCTCCACTGGCTTTTTTATCAGGTGTGAGGCAGCTCCCAGCGCGCGCGCGCGCGCACACACACACACATACACACACACACACACACACACACACACACACACACACACACGGGTCTCCCATGCCTGGCTCTGCCCACCCCTGTGCACAGGATGCAGGGAGCTCACCATCCTGCCTGTTGGCCGGCAGGGGTCCCAGAGGCAGTGCCCAAAGTTCCGGGCAGCAGAGCTCGTGGCCGCGCGCGGTAGGGCTGGGCTGGGTTCTGGACACCGCGCGGCAGCTCGTAGTCCTCCGGCTCCCGCCGCAGCGCTCCCAGCCCGGCCTTTCAAGCAATCACATGGTGCGGCAGAGACTCACCCCGACGCTTTTAAAGAGGTAGCGCCCCTGTTTCGCACCTGGGACTGGGGTGGCAGACGTGGGTCTAGGGACTGAGCCCAGGACCAGACTGGGGCGTCGCTCCCTATAACCCGTCGTGCGCGCACCTGTCCTGAGGCCACCCACTTGAGACGCGTCTGGTGCCTGGATCTTAGCAGTCCCCTGGTCCCGCTCCAGCTCCGTCGGGGACCCTTGCCCATGGCCTGCCTCAAGGGGGCATTCTGGTCTCTTCTTTCAGCTCTCTCCTGCACCCACCTTGGGGAGCCCAAGGGACGAACCGAGGCTCAGACTTACCCAAGGTCACCAAAGCTGGCAGAGCTCCCGGCTACCTGAGCTGTTCTGTCCAAGTGCCCCCACGCCTCGACGCCTTCAGCAGCCGCTCGCTCCAGGGATTCCTAGGCCTGTAAGGTCTAGAGGAATGGTAGTTGGCTGGGACTCGACACGGGCGCCGGCGCCTCTGTCGCCCCCGGCGCGGGAGCTGAGTGACAATCGGGCTCCGCACACCGGGAGGGGGCGGGGGCGGCGGCGGCACTCGCGGGCCCCTCCCTCCTCATCCTTCGTCTCCTCCCCCACCCCCTCCTCTTAACAAAGGAAGTGAGACTGAGTGAGAAAAGCTGGAAAAATGTGAGCTTTTCGAAGGGCCTGGTGTGTGCGCCCAGCCTCAGGACTGGACAGAGGCGCAGCCTTCCTGTGTCCATTCTCTCCCTTCTCAATGCAGGGCTCCTGGGAGCCCTGGTCTGGCCTCCAGCAATCCCTCACCCCTCACGGCAAAGCATCTCTTCTGCAGGACTTCACAATGCCCCCTGTGGGACCTCCCAAAGCAGTCACTTGGTAGCCCTGGCACCCTCCCCCAATCCTAAAACCCCGCTCTCTCCATGAAACCAGTCCCTGCATCTTCTCATCCCATATTGTTTTGCAGACTCTACCCTGAGTCATTATATTCTTTCTCATCCGTCTTTCAGAACTGCCTTTTAGTCTATTAGCAATTTCCATTTTGCAGATGAGGACGCTGAGGCTCGGGAAGTGACCTAGCCTCCCGGGATCGGATTGCCTTTCAGTGTCACCCGCTCTGCGCTCCTGTTCCTTCCTCCTCCCTCTTCGTAGCACAGCGCTAAGCCATAAGGCATCCAGTTCAATCTCCTCATGTTATCGATAAAGAAGCAGGCTCAGGGAAGGAAGGGACTTCCGAAAGGTCACAGGGCAAATCCTAATAGGACCAAAATACAAAACCCAGGCTCCCGACTCTCTCCACTGTCCAGACTCCTCCCCTGGCCACCGTCTGCTAGTTTCGGTTTAGGCAGTCCACTGATATTAACTAATGACCAGACCCTGGAAACAGATGAATGCCTCATAGAGATCCTAACCTGAGAAATCCTTGTTTGTAGGTATTGGGCAAGGGTCCTAGGAGAGCAAAGAGAGTCAGGTTGGGGACCCCAATGTTATCCAGCCACAACCCAACCCGGCCTCTGGAGGCTCTTCCCCCTCATTGGATCACAGAATGCAAGGAAAAGGGTTCTGCCCAGAGGAGGTGAGTACGTTGCTTCTGCTGGGGGCTGCGCTGAATCACCCTGAGGAATGAGGTGAGACCTGGAACCCGGGTAGCTGGGAGGCGGGGAGGAAGGGCAGCTGAGTCTTCTGAGGAGGAGGGAAAAGTCCTCTGTAGGAAAAGATAACTTTCATTTCTGCCTTTAGGGGGAGCAAGGAATCAGTGCCTCAGACAACAAAATTACATTCCTTCCCTAGAAGCTACTTGGAGAAATTAGGAAGTGTAAACTCTCCTTCCTCCTCATCCCCCTCCACTTCCCCTGCTGACTTTGTCAACACACCCAGCAGCACCTGACATTCTGCCCGCTTCTCCTGCCAGCCAGACGTGAAGGTCTTTTCCATCATCCCCTCTCTGTCCTTCCCTTGGCTTAAGCCATTTCTGGCTCAAGGCTTTCTCTCTCAGTTTACACTCAGCTTCCCAACGGTCGCTCATCTAGATGTCAGAAGAGCCTGCGAAGACCCAGATGGACCCAGCTTGGGGACAGGGGTGGGTGAGTGGGGTCTCCCCCTCTAACCATGGGCAGCATCTTCAGCTCTGAAGGGCACCTGAACACCCCCCCACCCACACACACACATACACTCCTTCCTCCAATTTGTCTTACGACAGGTTGCTGACATGTAGTGGATGCATTTGCATAATGCGTGTAGGTACTTTGTTTCTCGGTTCTGGGCAAAATAAGCCAAAATTTTCTTCCCCTCTCTTCTCCATCCTTCCACCCCTGCCTGTTCCCAGGCCTCAGGGATTAGACCAGCCTATTTGACAGCAGAACTGGGCAAGGCAGGGTCTATTCCAGAGGGCTGCCTTGGGAGAAGCACACGGTCTCCTCAGTCCTCTGGCTTGAAACGGAGGTGGGAGGGTTGGTTCTGGGCCCACCTGTGCAGCAGGGCCATTTGATGTGGTGAAAAGAGCATTTGATCAAGAGTCAGAAGAGCTGGAGCTTGCTTCTAGTCTCTACTCTGCCACTCACTGACTGTGTGACCTCAAGCAGGTCATTTTTCCTCTCCTGGACTCAGTTTACCCATCTGACACCAACAGCTGGTAAGTCCATTCCAAGGCGGGAGAGATGGGCTGAGCTGGAGACCACAGAACTCGGTCCTTCCACCCGGAACCCTTCTAATGGTGGGCAGATATCAGGGCTGAGAGGAGGGGAAGTTTGTGATGGAGGCAAGCAGAGGGAGAGGCGAGGTCACAGGTCTATGACCAGGAGAGGACAATGAGGAAGGCTGTAGGCAAACAGGTGGAGCCAGAACTCTCTGGCTTTCACAATGTGTCCAGGACCTTTTGACAATGACCCTCCCCACACCAGGGTCCCTCACACACTGCAACCATGCAACCCTCCAAGCTTCACCTGTCTTCAACAGCTGAGCCTTGGCTTCCCCACCTGTAACAGCGGTGTAGGAATACACCTTGGGGTAGGATGGTTATGAGACCACAATGAGCTGGCTTTTGGAAAGCACCTAGCACTGAAATTTTATCAAAAAGGCAAGCAGGCAGCACCAGGCCAGTGAGGGGTAGGTGTGGAAAGGGAAAGAGAAAGAGCGCGAAATCATGAAATTTGCCCTGCGCAGCCAGGGAGGCTCATATTGGTACCAAATCCCACGGGTACCAAGTTGAGGTGCCCTGCAAGGTGCCCAATGCAAAGCTTCTATTTTACATGTGACTCCAGGGGTGAGATAATGCCACAGTAAGTGTAAAGACCCCCCAGGGCCCTGCTGCCTCTTGGTCTTACTTCTTTCCTTCCTAAGCCCCTATCATGGGTTTCTCCACTGGCCCCTTGCACCCGCAGCCTCCTCACTGTGGCCAGCGGTGGGTGGGGGAGATGGAGGGCTGCAGGGGAGGGACTCCTGGGTGAGGGGAACTTTGCTGAGCAGCCCTGCTCTCTTCTCCCTGGAACTCTCCAAACTGGACTAGACTCCCCAGATCAGGAAGGACTGCCCACGGAGGATGAAGTATCCCAGAACACCTCTCGGGAGCCCAGAAAGGAAAGCAAAAGGTAGGGGCTGTCAAAGCCTTGGCTCAGCCCTGTGGGGAGAGCTTGGGAATTGAAGGAGGTTTTAGAATTTTCCTCTGTCCTTTCCAGCAGGCAGAAGGATATTTTGGTCCCTGTCTTGTTTTTCCAGCATTGCTCTGCCCCGTGTGTGCACAAGAACTGTTGGATACGAGCAGGCAGTTGGGACAAAAAGATTTCTGGGTGTCAGGAAAGACCTTAGCCCTTCCTTTGAGGGCCCATAACCATGCCTGTCTGCCCCTGCAGTGACTTCCTGAAAGTCCCTTCCTCTCCTCTTCTACCACCCTCCTGCTGCTCAAATTCGTAGTCTGAGTCTCTCTGCTTCCTTCTCCCTTCTTCCAGCTGACTTCTCCCCAGTCAGGGCTTTTCTGGGCCAGTTACTGCGCCTACGAGAAGAACACAGCCTGCCTGTTTCCCTGTGTGTTTGTGAGGGGGAGGCGGGCATGGGCTAGGTCAAGGCCATTTAGTTCCTGTTCCTCCAGACAGCATGGAATTTTTCCTACCTCCTAAAGCAAGGCTGTCATTCACGTTTCTTTCCTAACCTCATCACCATTCGTTCATTTATTCTGTTGGGTAAACGTTTCTTGAGCCCCTTTTATATATCACGTGGTGAGTTGAGCACTGGAGGCAGAGGTGTCAAAAAGCCTCAGTATCTCCTACAGTCTCCAGAGAGTTCACACGCAGGTAGGGACAGCACGAAGGACCCCCAATACACAGTCCCTCCAGCGAGGATCAGGACATGTTTTCTGGGTCTTGATACACCGAGGACCCCATAGAGCTCCACAGAGGAGCCTCAAGTCTTCGGAGGCTGGTAAGGAGGGTAAGGTCTTGGGGGCTCTGTTTTAGATGAGGCAGCTTTTGTTATTTCATATATGGGTTCCTGGTATAAGACTTTCTTTGAACGTAAGATTTTATTAGCTTTGTGGCTCAAAAGAAAAAAAAAAAAAGTGAAAATCTGAGCTTTAACCCAAACCCTCCAGATAAGGAAACTGAGATCCACAGAAGGAATGAACTTGGCCATACCCACAGAGCCATCAGAAGCAGGGCTTTGTGCCCGAGAGGGTCCCGGAGCCTCCTTTTGAACCCGGTTCCCACCTATCCCTCAGGGAATCCCTGGAGAATCCCTTGAGCACCAGTGCTTGAATCTCAGAACCTCATCAGTGAGGGTTCTGGGCTTTCACACCCTCCCCACCTTACAGCAGAGGGAGGCGGTGTTAGGTGGACACACATGTATATAATTATAAAAGCCCCTCACAAGTGCACAGAAGTTTCATGATTATAAAAAGAATTCTGTTCAAGCTCATTCTTGTTGCTATAATAAAAACACAGAAATTCCCACAGCCAGTATTCCATTGAATGCTCACTACACACCAGGGAGATGGCAAAGCAGGTATTATTAGTCCCTGGTCACATGAGAGAGGTTCAAGAGAAGCCGTGTGGCAGAAACTGACACCAGAACCCGGACCGTCCAAGGCCTGAGCCAGGTGTGGTGTGTTTTACTCATGAAGGTGTGTGTGATGCTCAGGAGGCGATTGGAACTGCTGGCCAATGGGTCTGAAAGGGTTTCCTCAAGGAGGAGAATCTCAGGCAGCCCCATCCATCATTTATTTCTTTGGCAGTTGTGGAGGACTTACTATGAAGACGCCCCCCAGGAAACGCAAGCATGGGGGATGCAAGCCCGGCTGGGTCGATCTCTGCCCAGAATCAGCTGGAGCTCCCGGTGGTGTGTCCCAGGGGTCCTGAACACGAGAGGACCATACTGGCTGGCAGGGGCTGGGGAGGATTCTGGAGAAAGCAACACATAGCCTGGGCATTGGAGGAGGCGCCGGATGCTCTGTGCTTGCAGAGGCGGGCTGGTGGCCAGGAGGAGGACTTGGTGAGCAGAGAGGGGACGAACAGCCTGAGCAAGGGGCGTGGGAAATTGCGAGGCATGTTGTGGGCGAGACCAAGGGCTTGACATGCCCCAGGCTGAGCAGCAGAGTGACAACGAGGGGCCACGTTGCTGAGGCCCCCAGGGCAGGCTGAAAGGACTGTAGTGGGTGATGCACCCACTTATAGGCCTCACCCACAGCAAGCCTCCGCCCAGCCCCAGATCTGCCCTGTAGCACTGAGTGACGCCCGACCATCCCCCACATCTCCCTGAGCCTCAGTTCTCTTATACATAAAAGAAGAACGTTACCTCTTTGACTTCATGTGAAAGTACTTTTTAGGTTGTAAATTACTAGACAAATATACAGTCTTCTCTGTTGGTAATGGGAAGCTTTTGAGGATTTTTGAGGATTTTCTGAAGGATCTGAAAGATGCTGTCGGAAGATCATCCGAGACGCCGTGCAGAGTAGAGGAGAGGGTGAGAGCAGGCAGACCTCCCAGAGGCGGCAATCGTGGTCAAAGATGATGAAAAGCTAAACCTAAGAGGAAGCAGTGGGAACAGAGACGAAGATGGACAGGAAAGATGTCTCACGGGGGGACTTCCGGGCACAGCGGCAGGGGGACCGAGGAGGAAAAGATGACTTGATTTCAAGCTGGGTTCCCAGGGAAATGCTGACAAGGATGAGAGCGATTTGATGGAGAGGCTGGCTGGGGGGACGGGGTGGGATACGAAGTCCACTCCCGGACAGGTTGGGGTAGCTGTGCCCATGGGAAGGGTCCAGCAAGCTTCTGGAAATGGCCAAGAGATCATCGAAGCTGGAGCTGAGTCATCGGAATGGAGGTGACAGTCAAGGTCCTGGGAGAGATGAGGTCACCCAGGAGAGGGTCAGAGAAGAGGTTGGGGAGAAGCTGGGCTGTGCCCGCAGTAATCTAGAGGGAGGGCAGCCGGAGGGAGGAGCAGGCTACCAGGCATTTCAGGAAGCAGGGGTGCTGAGTGGTTCAGGGCTAAGGGCTGAAGGGCAGCTGTGACAGGTCTGAGAGGGGATGTGACTGGATCTGGTGAAAAGAAGGGTGTGCAGACCTCAAAGAAGCTTCAAGGGGTGGGAGAGTCGGAGCGCCTCTCAAGGGTTGACGCTGGAGCAGGCAGGCAAACTGGAGGCCATGGGTGCAGACAAGTCTAGTTTGAAAGAGCTTGGCAGGGAGGAGAACAAAAGATGGATGGTGAGCTGCAGAAGAGAGGGGTCAAAAAGAGGTTGGTTTTAGACGGGGAGCTCTGAGCATGCTCCCAGCCTGAGGGATGGGAGCAGTGGGAAGGAAGAGATGAATCAGAGGAAAATGAGGCTGAGCACAGACCCCAAGGAGCTGAGCAGTTAATGACAGCTGGCTGGGCACGGAGCTCTGGGTGTCCCCAGACCTGGAAGTATCTAGCTCCTCACCAGCTCCAAGCCCTCCCCCACCGCCACTGAGTCCTGAGGTGGGGGTCCCAGATCTTCAGCCACAACCTGGCCCTTCCCTGAAGCCCCTCCACTCCCCCACCTGACACAAGGTCAGCAGCTGGCCAGCCACGCTGCAGCTCCATTAAAGACTCAACCTTATCACAGCACCACTCCTCCTACGACAGCCTGTGGCCCAGCCCCTACCGCTAACCCTAGCCCACGGGGCACCAGTCACGGATTTCTTGGCTTCTCTGGTTCTGTCTGCAGCCAAAGAGGTGCCTCTGGGCAATCCACCTGCCACCCCTCCACTGTCTGGAAGATCTGCCATGTGACAGACTCCTAAGTGTTCATGCTGCCCCGTGCAGCCCTCGCCATCCCAGCCAGCACATGCACCCGCTTCCTGGACTCCCCCAACACCTCCTTCAAGGGGTTCCCCTCCCTAAGCAGAAGAGGAAATTGAGGCAGTGGAGATTATGTGATGCCTGTTGGAGGTTAGGCAGCCTGGTATCTGATGTCCTAATGCCTCTCCTTCTCCTCCCTACTCATCAGGAGGTGTCAAATACCCCCACTACCTTCTGCGTGTTCCAGAAGGGAGAAGGCTGTCAAGACTGGAGAAAGAAGGAAGGATGGGCAGAAGTAAAGTTGCCAGATTAAATTCAGGACACCCAATTAAAAAAGGTTAACAGCTTTATTGAGATACAATTCACATATTATAAAGTTCACCAATTTAAGGTGTACAATTCAATGGTTTGAGTTATTTATGGACTTGTGAAACCATCACCATCATTTAATTTTAGAACATTTTCATCACCTCTCCTCCAAAAAAGCTTTGCACCCATCAGTAGTCACTTCCCAACCCTTCCCCCGACCACCCAGCCCTAGGCAACCACTAATTCACTTTCAGCCTCTGTGGATTTGCTGATTCAGGACATTTCATCTAAATGGAATCACACGGTACATGAAATACATGAATCTGGCTACTTTCACTTAGTGGCATGTATCCATACTTCATTCCTTTTTAGGGCTGAATAATATTCCACCCTGTGGATATGCCACATTTTGTTTCCCCATTCTTCAGTTGATGGACACTGAGATTGCTCCACTTTCAGGCTATTGTGAATGAATAATGCTGTTATGAACATTCATGTACAAGTTGTTCGTTTTTTGTTTGTTTGTTTTCTTTTGTTTCGTTTAAGGTGAAGTTTTCCTCTTGTTGCCCAGGCTGGAGTGCAATGGTACAATCTCGGCTCACTGCAACCTCCACCTCCTAGGTTCAAGTGATTCTCCTGCCTCAGCCTCCCGAGTAGCTGCGATTACAGCTGTGCGCCACCACACTCGGCTAATTTTTTGTATTTTTAGTAGAGACAGGGTTTCATAGTGTTGGCCAGGCTGGTCTCAAACTCCTGACCTCAGGTGATCCACCTGCCTCAGTCTCCCAAAGTGCTGGGATTACAGGCGTGAGCCACTGCTCCCGGCCCATGTACAAGTTTTTGTGTGAGGATGTTTTCATTTTTCTTGGGTAGATACAGACTGACGGAAAGGTAGAACACATGCCTGGCCCTTTCTCACATTTATCCCCCGCATCATCACCCCACCTGGGTGGAAAGCTATTATGGTCCCCTTTGACAGATTAAAACACTGAGGTTGAGGGAGAGCCCTGAGCCACTAAGTGCTGGAGCTGAAACCTGAGCTCAGGCCTCCTGATTTCCACTCCAGGGTTCTTTTCAGTGCATCACAATGGCCCACTCAGAGAGTCTGCAGTCCGCGGAGGGACCCCGGGACCCCTGGGAGCCCTGAGAGCCTGAAGGAGAGCCCACCATGCACACATTCTCTTCTCTGAGTGAAGCCCCTCCCAGCAGCAATGGAAGGTAGGCGTGGGAACACCAGGCATTCACTCATTATACTGAGAAATCAGAACTGATCACACAGGCCTGGCCACTGATTCTGGCTTCAGCCCATTCCCTCAGCTGCAGTCTATCCTGGCCCCAATTCCCTGATGTTAAGCGGAACTCAAAGTGCTAGTCTAGAGCCATTCCCTTCAGAGAGCAGTGGGCATGGAAACGGACTTGCACTAAGTGCATTTTCCTCAGGTAAGAGTAAAGAGCTAGTGGATGGCCTGGGCTCCCTGCTCCTCTGTGGGGTCATCCCAAAGTCCTACATTCCAGATCAGAAAAACAAACAGCAGCTTCTAGAGGTGTCCACTCTACAGTCAAAAGCCACTCACTCCACCCGGCTCATCAGGTGGGATGGGAGACAGAGGCGCCCTTCACTTCCTGAGCTTTTCTATTTCAACCACTATCCCTGGCCCAAGCTGGACAGACTTCCTCCAGAGCTTAAAACAGCTCCCAGTGCACAGAGCTCAAGAAACATCTACTGAGTGTTCAATGTTCAGAATAATACACTTGAAGAGTGCAAGAAGGAAGTCACAACGCCTTATGGTTTAGAACCCATTTACCTCTCATAGCATTGCCAGTGAACCCAGTATAACCATTTTCTGGTTTCGCAGAGGAGGAAACTGAGGCTGGGGGCGGGGCGGGCGGGGCGGGCGCGGGGAGGGTGGATCTGCTGAGCAGAGGGACCCGGAGCCCGAAGCAGCCGCCCAGCTTGGGGCTGTTGTCTGGGGCTCGGGGTCCCTCTGCTGGCCACACAGAAGCCTGGGCGTGGGCGAGGAGCTGGGCAGGGCCAGACCCCAGTCCCCAGCCTGAGTGAGCTCCCGGCCCCGCAGCGCTGCGTGCTGGGTTCTCTCGAGGCAGGGAGGAGGAGGAGGAGGAGCCATAGCCGGGCTCAGGATTAGAGAGCACTGGCGGAGCACTGCGCAAGGCTTCAGGTGAGACGCTTCACCGGGCATCATGGACCAGAGCAGAGGGAACAGGCAGCACCTCAACTCCCCACCTGCCCGAGCCTCTCCCGAGCTCACCTGCAGAAAGGCCAGAGCGGACGGCGCCTTTGAAGGCCCGGCAGACCCGCCCCCTTGGAGGGAAGAGACAAATTCAGTCTCCTGAAATCCAGTCCAAAGTGCTTTGTTCCCACAGCGCGGCTTCCTCCCGTTTCCAGGCAAATCTCCTAAGCCACCCGCAAGAGAACAGATCCCTCCTCTTCGGAGAGGGATCTCACCAGAGCAAAGGATTTTCCAGTTTCTTTCTTTTTTTTTTTTTTTTTTTTTTTTTTGAGGAGATTCACTCTTGTCACCCAGGCTGAAGTGCAATGTCGCGGTCAGAGCTCACTGCATCCTCCGCCTCCCCGGCTCAAGCGATTCTCCTGCCTCAGCCTCCCAAGTAGCTAGTATTACGGGTGCCCACCACCATGCCCGGCTAATTTTCTATTTTTAGTAGAGATGGGGTTTCACCATGTTGGCCAGGCTGGTCTTGAACTCCTGACCTCAGGTGATCTGCCCCCCTGCGCCTCCCAAAATGCTAGGATTACAGGCGTGAGCCACCGCACCCAGCCTTCCAATTTTCTCTAGCTTCACCCCCTTCATCTAGCTGCTCTCAATTCCCACAGTGAGGAAGTCTAACTTAGACCTACCACCACTTCCAGAAGTCACCCCTTGTTGCCGGACAGCTGGCGCTCTACTGGGCATAAAACCGTCTGTTAATTCAATACTCCTCAAAGGTTTTAAGTTTAGTCTCTAATGCCAAACAAATTTGGCATTAAATCTTACTTATATCTCTTCTTAGTGTGTGACTTTGTGCACGTTACTGAAGTAAAAAGCCTCAGTTTTCTCATCTGTAAAACATAAATTATAATACTTTCCTAATGGGCTGTTGGGAGGATTCAGTGATACATTACACAGTTAATAGCACTGTGCCTTGCATATGGTGAGTGTTTGGCAAATGTCAACAATGAACGTTACTATTGTCATAGATTT